CAACTTCATAAAGATCTTAGCTTGATGAAACCACTCAATCAGTTCAGGGATGAGGGGAAGCGGGTACCGATTCCTCACTGTGATTGCATTCAACTTGTGGTAATCACAACACAAACGTAGCTCCCCCAATTTCTTTTTCACAAAAAGCACCGGTGCAGCCAATGGGGAGGTAGAAGCCCAGATAAACCCTTTCAGGAGGTTCTTGTCAATAAAATCCTTCAATGCAGCCAACTCCGGTTCTGACAGGGAATATATCCGACCCACTGGCAATTTTGCATTGGGCAACAAGTCAATTGGACAGTCATACGCCTGATGTCGAGGCAACTGATCCACCTCCTTCTCCCCAAACACATCAGCAAAGTCCACCAACTCCGCAGGTAGATCCAGGTCCACGGGCATAGCCACACTCCCTGCACAGGAGCGCAAGCAATGGTTGGCACACTTCCTATCAAGGAACTGCACAGCTCCAGACGATCAGACAATCTGTGGATCATGGGCCTGTAGCCATTCCAAACCCAGCACCACCGGAAAATGAGGCACTGTGGCAACGTAAAACATAGTTTCCTCCACATGCTGCCCAATATGCATGCAAAGAGGTTTGATTGCAGCAACCACAGGTCCCGAACGAAGGGGCTGACCATCAATCATCTCCACCATTACTGGTGGGTATACCTGTTGCTGAGGAATGAACCACTGCTTGACAAAATGAGCATCCATGAAATTGGCTGTGGCCCCTGAGTCAACCAAAGCTGGGATCTCCACCGCTCTCACACCAGGCATGAACATACTTGCTGGCAGCACAAGATGCTTCAGCAATAGCGACTGTGGTGGAGATGTCAAAGATGTCAAAGGTGGCAAGGGTGGCAAGGTTGGTGAAGATGGCGGGCCTATGGACTTTACACCCTGACCTGCAGACCCCCATAGGCCAAGCGATGCTCATTTCCCGCCACGCAGGTGTTGCTGCTGTGGATGTCTTAACAGGACACTTGGCTGCAAAATGTCCTCAATTGCCACAATAGAGGCATAAACCATCACAACGACGTCTATTCTTTTCTACTTGAGTCAGGCGAGGGCAGCCAGCCCCCAACTGCATGGTTCCTCCAAAGGCACTTCCACCAAGGGCACCATCTTGCTAGAAACAGATACGGTCTCTGTCCATCGTCGCATCCATCGCTGCTGAAGTCTAGCATCGATACGAAGACACAAATGCATGAGCTCCTGAAGGGTGCAAAGGAATTCAGTGTGTGCCAACTCATCCAGAAGCTCCGACGACAAACCCTTCTGGAACTGGTCTAATAGTGCTGCCTCATTCCATTGTACATCCTGAACAACCACTCAAAAACTAGCAATATAATCCACAAGTGAGCCACGCCCCTGCTTCAACTCTCTCAAATGTCTGCTGTTTGGCTTCGAACAGGGTCCTCAAACATGGCCTGAAACTGACGGCAAAACTTGGCGTAATTGTCCAACACCTGGTTGGGCTGAGTCAGCAGAGGCATCGCCCAACATGCTGCAGAGCCTGACAACAAACTAATAAAAAAACCCACCTTATCCTGGTCAGTGGGAAAGTCCTCAGGCCGAAGGCTCATGTAAAGCTGGCACTGCCTAAAAAATGCTGGAAATTGGGCCAGTGAACCATCAAATTTATCTGGCACTGCCACTGGGCGTTTTCGGCATGGCCAGGCAGCTTGCATTTGTGCCACCTGTGCAGTCAAAAGAGCCACTTGCTGGCTTAACTGGGCAATCTCTGCTCTGAGCTGATCCATGGTCACCCCACAAAAAGCAAAAATAAGTTGAAGGGGAGGCTGAAGTCAAAATGTGATGACCTGTAGTCTCTCAAAATAACCCAAAACCCAAAACATATATTAAAGTCCGGTAAAGCCTTCAACTTAACTTCACTGTTTTATTAGGCACAGTTTAAAGTCACAAAAGTAAATAATGAGGCAAACAAAAAACCAAAACAAACCACACTGATGTTCCGAAGCACGCCAAAATAACTAATTATAAACTCCAGGAAAATAACTGAGAAAAATCCATGGGAAGAATGCCAGCAAAGATAAACCTCTTTCAAGGTAAACGCTAACTGACTCCAGCAATTCTAACTACATAGTTGAAAACTTATATACATAGCTCCCACCTGCAAGCCTTGAGGAGGATCATGGTAATCTCCTCTTGAGTAGACCTCACTTTTCCCTGATGCTCTCCTTCCTGCATGACCTAGGATGGATAGGGGATGGGCCTGGATCCTCCTCTGACTGCTCAGCTGGCCTCTGCCCTTCCCCAGCCTCCTCCACCACCTCTGGAGCCACACTCCCACTCCCTGTGGGCTGTTCCTCCTCTTCCTCAGAGTCAGACTCCACCAGGGGCATGACATATGGAATAGCTTGATAAGAGAAACGCCCTGGGCGAAGCTAGGACTGTAAGCTGCATAAAAGTAACACCTTGGGAATAGCCCGGGGTTCAGAATTTGTCATGTTAATGCTCTGACCCTTTTGCACATATAAACCTGTGTTCTCCAACTCTTCATGGTCTTGTGTCATTAATTGGAAACAGGATCTGCTGCAACACCAGAATTCCCCAGCCAGGAGTTGAAGGCCACATTTCCTCAAATTGCTAATGTTGGGGAAACACTGATCTAGGTTCACTGTCAATTCATCCACTTTTGACTTGGACTTGACAAAAGACTTCTTCCTGCTCATTTGCTATGCCTCTGGCCGTTCTTGTTCTCTGAACTGAGATGAGAGAAAAACCAGCACATCGGGCCATAGTGACAGCCATCCATTTTATCTTTATTTTACTGCCTAGCAAAGGTAGAAACCATCTGGCTATTGCTAAGGGGCTTTGTAGGATTTTTTTTGCTCAGTCTCAAACATTGGACGGGACTGTTAACCTTCAGAGAAAATCCACTTAGTACACATTTTAATGTGAGCTTATTTAATTTTCACCTCTCAAAGCTTTGCACAAACTAGAACATAATTAAACAATGATATCTGCAGCTTTTCAATTTTTTTGCAATATAACCTATCACTTAAGAATACCTAAGAAAATGTGTATATTGGAATAGAAATATACACAAAAATACAGGAGGGAAAATAAAGCACATTAGAAACAGCTGCTTGTCATATTAGAAATGGATAAAACGTTGGTTAGCAGTGCCTCCTAAAATGAGTTTTGGTCTTTAAAGGAAGGTTTAGATTGGTCTTAAAAGAAAAAAAGCCAAGCTCACTCAAAAAGGTAACAATACCAACATAATAGTGGAAAAATGTGGAATCAGGTAGAATCATACCTGACAAATTTGGCTATCTATTATTGATGTGGTTTTTTGTGGAAAAGTATGGATAATAGTAGCTTTATTCTTGAGCCAGTGACCTTGATGACAAAATAAAAAGCCAACAATAACACCAAAGGGGTCCTCATATATTTATTTGCTCTGTTTATGAAATGTATGTAGATTTGCCTTCTATAAGATTGAGCAACTGGTCATAGATCAATCAGAGAATGAACACAGCATTTCTAAACACAACTCAATATACTTATGACAATCTAATTCTGAATTCTAGAATTCTCTCCACCTTGCCTTTTAAAAGTGAAATCTCCCTCCATTCTCCCCCCCTCTCTCTCCCTCTTTTTTGATTATTGCTAGTGGAGAAAGTCATTGAATCAACATCATTGAATCAATCAGCAACATGTTTGTGTGTGGGGAGGAAAGGGGCTGGAAAGAAAGAAAAAAACCCTGCTTCCTGCTCATCAAGGTTTTTTTAAAGTATACAGTTAATTTCAGGGAGTGGGAACACTCAGTATTACTGCCTGTTGACCATGTTCGTAGTAGTTGTTGGGAGCTATCTCCTATTCTTGATCGAAAGCACATAGAACATTTTGTACTAGGTTACGTTCTAGGATCCATTAAAGAGTTCTGAGTTTCCAGCCTCACAGAAATATTTGAATACATCAATAATAATAGCAGACTAAGCAGAGGTGAACCTTTTATTAATTTATTCTGGAGAATTTTAAGCCTGCTTTGAGATGGATGATCAGGCAATGGATATAAATAAAAAAAGAACAGATAGGCTTTCTGAGATATAGAAGATCTATAAAAGAAAATAAACACAGCCCCCAGTCAACCCCACTGAGGATGTTGAGGTAGCTGTAATTTTTAACATGGAGACTAGTTTTATTAATGTTTGTCAACTTTGAAATTTATGACAAGAGTCTTTATTCTGATGGAACCCCAGCCTCTGTATTTAGATGAAACTTTGTATCATGTGAGTGGAAGAGCTGGAGAACAGTTACAGAATAAAGCCACTATTTTTGGGTTAGTAGATATACTCAGTGTAGGTAAGACCCAAGTGTGTATTCTTAAAAGTTTACCTTTTGTGGCTGTCCAGCATTTGCTCTGTTTAGCATTTGCTGTGGAAGATCAGAAACCTTTTCTATTTTAAACAAATGTTCCATTCTTCTGAGCTGACAAAATTTCCTCAAAGTTCTCCACCAAACTCTTAAGAATGATTTCAAACTCAGGTCCCAAATCCTCTTTCTATTCCCTTTCCTTAAGCACATGACTCAACTCACACAACCAGCAAAATGTTGCTCTTCTTTATTTTCACCTCTTTACATATTGCTTGGCAGGGCTAATACAGTCATCTTTATCAAAGGCAGATTGCGGACAATTCACTGACAATGTTCAGCATGCATATGACTAGAGGAAGCTGTAGTAAAAACCCAGGGTAAATAACTGAGCAAATACTTTGGGTGCCAGGGAGTCAACTGTGAGTTTGCAGGAGCTGAGTGCCTGTCATCTTTGTGGCAATTACATTTAATGGGACACAAGTGTTTTCTTCCTCTGCATCTCTTCCCTCCTCCTCTTTTCTCTCCCTGAGGCTGAAGGGAGGGAGGTGGACAGAGGGGGATCAGTGAGGGTCTTTGACGTCAGACATGCCCTATAAAAACCCAGAATAAGAAGGGAAAACAGTGCTGGAAGCTAAGCCAGTCCTTCAGCAAGGATGCCAACCCCAAACGCCTCCAGTTCTTCAGCCAAAGGCTTCCGGCGGGCAGTATCGGAGCTGGACTCTAAACAAGCCGAGGCCATCATGGTAAGCAAAGATGCTCTCAGCCATCCATGGGATGAGATGTTGATTTGCAGAGACAGACCAATGTAGGGAAGGAAGAGAAACCTAACTTTGTATCATGAGCAGCAATCTACTGTGGGAGAATCCCAAAGCTAGGCAGATCAGTTCTTAGAGATGTTGGCGCTAATTATTACTACCAGACAGAGAATAATGCAGTTGCCCAGAAGAAGCATGCCATTTATAGAAGAAAAAGTGACAAAATAAAATAAAATAAAATAAAACAAAATGGGAAAAATGTGGAATCATATAAGAGCTAGTCTAAAACTAAAACAATGGCAAAAGGCTTTCTTTTATTATGGGATGCTTGAATTGCTTTGCATGTCTTATTGTCTAGCATTGGAAATTTACAATGTTTTAGTTTAGTAGAAATTTGGTGTGGTTATATGCCTTGCTTTATTTGCTTGTTTTTGATAAGAGAATAGTGATTTGTATCCAATGGCAAATTGCTAATACATTCTTATAACACTGAATGTCAATTCAGCTCTGCATTTTTCCTTGCTGCAGCATCTGAGTTAAGTCTGTACTATTGCAGTAGATATACACTGACGCTTGATGTAACTATATCAGATTGTATTAAAGTTTTATAGATATTGCTAACTATTACTTTGTGTTATGTGTGACTGTTGCACTTCTAGCACTAAAGGTAAATTTGTTATTTTTAATTTACCTATATTTTTGACTGACTATTATCAAGTACATAAGAATCAAGTACTGCATATATGTATATAAACCAACCTTCTGAATGTTCTGGTTTATTAACTTGGAATAATTATGAAGATGTCAGATAAACTACTCCACCCTAGCAGCTTGAGCATAAAACATTGATTACATTTCTCTTACTTTCTTAGTTGCATTTCCACAGAATATACTTTGTTCCTATATTGCCGACCCAATGAAAATTGCCCCATCTTCCAAGAAACTGCATTTTACCACAGGAAGGAACCTGTGGTTGTTGCCCACAAAATCTTTCAGTGTGCAACAAATAAGAGTTTTATTGTGAGGATTATTTGTGTAGGAAGAAAGGATTAAGGCTTCACTCTTCATGGTCCTGAACTAAAGTACTTATCTTGGTTATTTAAAAATAACCACAAAATATAATGTGGCAATTGATGTTACTGTCTGAAGGACAAACTGTTTATTGAAATAATTCTTATTCTCTTTGGGTTAACAGTTTCATATTTACTCTAGATGCACTCCACTATTGTTTTAGAGTAATAAAGTCATTTCAGTGAAGAAAAGTCCAATATGTTAAATTCTACAAGTTATTGTGTTTTTATACATCTTTCAGCAGAAATCATACATTCTCCTACAGTACATTTTTTGCAATTAATTAATAAAAGACCTTAATCAAACTTGTCTATGAAACTAGAGTAATATGTTTAAGAAAGAGAGGTTTTTAATTTTTTCCCCATTAAAAACAACAATGGAATTACTGTAACAAACTTATTTTTAAATCCAAGAGAAGTTTTCACAACAACAGATATATTTTGGGGAAGCCGAAAGGAGAGGCAGGGAGCCAACACTGCAAAACATCTAAAACTAGGTTAAATGTTAAAACAGATCTTTAGATAACCTTTTAAATGATTTTTTTTACAAGAGAATGATAGGAAATAAATTATAAATAACATTTTAGTTACATTTAAGTAAAATATCATAGTTTCTCTACTTATTGCCACTTCCCTTAAAAAGCAAATTCCAGTTTTGATTTCATGCTACTTTTAAAAATATATAAAGAAAAATCATAATCAAATATTATTTTATATTTAGGGATGAGGAAGGCATTAATATCAAAGTGTTCAGGAAAGTTGCAATAAAATATTGGTTGTATTAAACCACAAGTTTAAACAGTTTGTGTGAAATTCTAGCAGATGCATTGTAGAACCTAGGTTAACCTAGGTCTTGTTTATATTTATTGTGGTGAAGCAGCTTGGAAAGGTCAAAAACAAAATATGCATTTACCAGGACTCCTCTGACCTCTTACCTTGCTTCTTATAGAAATATTGTGCAAAACCACGAAATTGCTGAATTAAGGAACTGGAAGCAAGCATGTTTCAGTGAATAAGGATGGGTCTGGAAAATAATATATGTACTTCTCCTTTTTGGTATAGTTTAACATAAGAAACACCCTGGGCTAGACTGAGGTTATGAAATGTATAAAAGTGACGCCTCCGGAAGAGCCAGGGGTTCAGAATTTGCCATTCGAATGCTCTTAACCTTGTGCACAAATAAAAACCTGTATTATCCAACCCTTCATGGTCTTGTGTCCTGATTTGGAAACAGGATCTGCTGCAACATTTACATATCACGTTTTATGAATCTAGCCCGTTCAGTTAGTTTATGACTCAATCCAGGGGTGGGATTCTACTGGTTCACACCTATTTGCCAGAACCAGTTGTTAACATTCTAAGCAGTTCAGAGAACCAGTTGTTAGAAGAAATTACTGGCCTAATCCTGTAAGGAAGGAAACATTCTGGTGTTGCTTACGGAAACTGCTTCTCTGTTAACCCTTATTACATTCTTGGCAGGACTAGACTTCCTGTCTCTGGAACGTCTCTGGAGTTTTTTCCCCCTCCTTTGCTGGTACTTTGCTTGTGTGGAGTGACCATTCAAAGTTACAATGGCACTGAAATAAGTGACTTATGACCATTTTTCACACTTACAACTTCTGCAACATCCCCACAGTCATGAGAGGCCAGGTGAGGAGATTCGTGCCTCGATGTGAGTGATATTGAGTTGGCGATGCCCAGCCAATAACATGACCATCAAGCCATGCCCAACAACTAAGCCACACCCACAGAACTGGTTGTTAAAAAATTTGAATCCCATCACCGGGGGGTGGGGGGGATAATATGTCTTTTCTTTTTTTAATTGACATTTTTAATGGCTTTGTCTAGTTTTGTTTTGTCTCAGTTTAAATTTCTCTTCACCCTGAACTGGACCCAATACTTGCTTGTGTGGAGTAACCATTCAAAGTTACAATGGCACTGAAAAAAGTGACTTATAACCATTTTTCATACTTACGACTATTGCAGCATCCCCACAGTCACGAGAGGCCAGACGAGGAGATGCGCACCTCGATGTGAGTGATATTGAGTTGGCCATGCCCAGCTAATCACATTACCACCAAGCCACACCCACCAACTAAGCCACGCCCACAGAACTGGTTGTTAAAAAAATTGAATCCCACCCCTGACTTAATCCACAACATGAATTTAATTAATAGCCATCTAAACATATTTTATAATTGCAATCATTAAGTTACATATCTAATTTATTCAAGTTTCAGAAGTCAGAAATTCTTGATATTTTATGCAGCTTCTGATTTCTTTTTTATGTTATAGTTGAATGCTACTTATCTTTGAAATCTTTTTATTTATTATCACAAGCATAAAAAATAGAAAAGCAGTTAGCTGCCTCTGACAGAGAACCTGAAATAGAAACCAAAAGATATTCCTTCAAAGAAATCAATTGATGAACAAGGGCTATCCCTATGCAAGCCTCACAACAATGTTGTGAAGCCAGTAAGGCAAGCAAATTTGATTTTTAAAATCTCTCCACTTTGTAAGCTGAAATTGCAGTAGACTATATCCATTGATGGATGTGGTGGCTCAGTGGGTAAGACACTGAGCTTCTTGATCAGAAAAGTCAGCAGTTTGATGGTTTGAATCCCTAATGCCACCTACCAGAGTGAGCTCCCATTACTTGTCCCAGCTTCTGCCAACCTAGCAGTTCGAAAGAATGTAAAAATGCAAGTAGAAAAATAGGGACTACTTTGGTGGGAAGGTAACTGCGTTCATGCGCCTTTGGTGTACAGTCATGCCGGCAACATGACCACGGAGATGTCTTCAGAAAGCATTGGCTCTTTGGCTTTGTAATGGAGATGAGCACCGCCCCCTAGAGCTGGAAATGACTAGCACGTATGTGCGAGGGGAATCTTCATCCATTGAATTGATTCCACTAGCCAGTTTCATTCAGCTTAGATTCAAAGTGTCTCTCTTTTGGGGTGAGGAGACAGGGGTGTCTTTGAGTCAGTTTTGCCTGCTGGAGACTTCCTGAACAAATCTCTGCTGTTTTCCTGCTTGCCTGCTTCCTAGGGTTGAGAGAGAGGGAACAACCTCAGGTCACCCAACTGGCCTTGTGTCTAAAGTGGGACTAGAACTCATGGTCTCCCAGTTTCTAGCCTGATGGGGCTTAACCACTACACGAAACTGGCTTTCTAGCACTGCAAAATGTTTGCTCATTCTAATTTTGTGGTTGGTTTTGGCTAAATGTGCAGTCCTTACAATTTTGTTTAAAGCAAGGTGGAACTCTCGGAGTGTTTTAGATCTCAGCTTCTATGAATATTAGCCAGTCAGGTCAATCATAGACAACTGTAGAAACTGTGGTCTAAAACATCTGAAAGTTCCTAGGAGAAGGCATATTCCAGGGTTTATTTGTATGTAAAGCTAGCTAACTAACTCTTCAATATAAGTAATCAAGATTCACTGCTTTGTAGAACAGAGGGTCTTTTTTAAATAAAACTGAGCAGATGCAAGGGCATTGCTTGAACTCATACTTTAAAAAAGGGAAGCTTAAAGCTATCATATTTATCTTTAATTTCTTTCCAACCCCAATATAAATAGGGAAGTAATGCTACGCAATAAGGTGGAAAGGTCTTTTGGCCCCAGATGGCTATTGCATGACCTATAATGAAACACCGGCTTGAAATCACGGACTTAAAAAGTACTGTTAGGAATAAAACCCGCTGCTTTCAGCTTTCATTATCCTCTCTTCCTTATTTAACGTAGCAGGTTGCATTTCAAATAAGATTAACCAATATCTGACAGGCAGTGTAGTAGGCAATTGTGATTCCCTTCACCTTTTTTTTCTGGAAATAAAAGTAAAAGTGATCACTAATCTTCCTCGATAGAGAAAACATTGTCCATTGAGTGCTGGTGGAAACAAATGAATAAATAATTAATAAATATTTTAAAAAAATAATTAAAAATTAATAAATGAAGTAACCTGTACTTTCTGTCCAAAGGGAGGTAGATATGAGTGTATCTTATTCCTCAAAGATGAACAAAACGAGTTTTTCACAGAAACTCGGCCTACGGCTAGGACTTAAATAACACATCAAGTTAAGTAACTGAAGCACTGAAGCAGTGTCACCATAAAATCAACCAAAAGCCCACAGTCCCATATAGGAATTTTTCTCAAACTAACTGGCTAGATAATTTAGGATTGTAATTCCTAGAATATCCAATCATTTGGAGCAAATAGGATTCTGGGAATTTGGAGGGTACTCGATGGGGAATGGCAGGCATTACAAGCTGGGATATTATACAAAAAAAAAAATCAACAGTGGTTTTTACTACATATATATAATTTAGATTAAACACCACCACCACATTTAAGAGTATATGTTTATATATGTTCATTCAAAAGTAAATCCTATAAATAGCATGAATTCTAGGTAAATAGGTGTATACTGGTTTCTAAAACTATGTTCACATTGTTTCCTTATCTGGTTTCCCCTGTTTCCTTGAACGCATTCTATGTCAGCTTCAGATGTTCATGAGGAGCAATGAGGAGCCTTCCCATTTTATGGGCTCTGTCACATTGACCTTTGGTAACTTCATGCTTTTTAACTGAGTTGTTCTATAATTATCAATCACAGGTATCAACGATCAAGCCCAGGCAGCTTATCCACCAATAGTGAAGGCAGTTGAGGATTTTAGGGGTTAAAATCCATCAAGTGTATATTGTGTGAAGTCGGGGAAGGAAATATTACATGACATGAAACAGGCAAATCAGCATGGGACTGAGTAATGAACCTCTAAAAGACTATTTCATACTAACATTACATATGGAAATTCTTTCAAATGCTTTATATCTGCCTTTTGATGTTTTTTCTCCTTCCATTCCAATTATGTCTGATTCTCAGGTACAGTATGTCCCTGCAGATTTCTTAACAAACTCAAAAATGGTTTGCCATTGCTTGCTTTCTAAGGCTAAGAGAGAGCAACCAGCCAAAGGTCACTCAGCTGGCTTTGCCTAAGGCAGAATTCATAAGCTCTCCAGTTTCTAACCAGGTTGGAAACTGGCTCTCAGTGTTATCTGTATCTGTTTTTTAACACATCAGTTACTCAGTTGGCATGATTTCTAATTAATACCTCCAGTTTGCAAATAACATCATATTAGTGGTAAGCTTGGCAAAAATGTTTTGCTAGAAAACTGACAAGCATGGGTTGGATGCGCTTCTGAACAGAGAAAGCTGCTATTTATGCATTTATGTTCTCCTTTCACTATTATTATTGCTGCCAGATGTGCAAAAATTCTTTCTGGTGTTTTGAAAATAAAGACAGATGGGGGTAGGAAGCAAGCAATTGAGCACGCTTACAGGAGTTATCTCAAAATCTCACTCTGTCCTTTTTTCCATAATATCCCTCCCGAGCAAAGACATAAACAAAAAAAATCTCAACTTACCAAAGGGAGTTTTATAGGTCATTGTCCACCCTAAATGGACAATCCAAAGTTCCTGCTTTCAAAAGGCAGCCTTTGGAGTTGCATTGCCCTTTCTTCTAACATTCGGCTCTTTCTCTGCAAGCTGCTTGATGTCAGCGGTGGCTGATCATATGCAAGATTAAGGTTTTTGCTATTTATGCCTTCCTGAACCAGGGCAATATAGAGATTATGGCTAGGAAAAAATCTGCTTCGTCGGAAGGGAATTGATGCCCTCCTCTCCATTTGAGGCAAACTATTCTAAAACTGCTGCCATAAATTTGTCAAAAGTTAGCAAAAAGATTGAATACATTTTAGAAAAGAACAGCTTGTTGCTTTCAACATAAATATCAGCATGCTAAAGAAATTGATTGCCACTGTAGATTTTATAACCTGAAATAATTTAGCCTTTTGTATATTTCAGTAATGTTTTTAATGCATGGTGTATTATTTATTTATATGCTATAACATTTGTATTCTGCCAATTCAATATAGGCTTTTAACAGTTCACATGAATTTACAACAATAATAACAAAATTTTAAAAAGTTTGATACAGATACATTAAAGCTGTGATAAAAATGATCCATCCTTCTTCCCCAGCGCCTATCTCAGCAATATTAAAAACTAAATGTTCTTTGAAACAATTCAGTCTTTACTACCTTCCTAAAAAGCATCATAGAGGATGCCATCCAAATAAAAAGTGGTCTTTTCCACAGTGATAGAGCATTTAGTGAAAGCCTAGTTTTCTGCTTCCCATCCTTCATGGGGAGGTGCACACCAGGTGCGTTGTCATCACTCAAGGCAGAAAGTCCTATCACTTTCTGGAAGCCACTATATATTTACATATATATTGGATTTCTTAAGTGATTATATTGTATTTGAATGATACCTGGAATCCCATTGGCTACTTAGATAGTACCTGCAACATTCAGTCAGAACATGGGTTTTTAGAGTCTGATGTCAGCTTTGGAAGCCATATTTTACATGGAAGCTTTGAGGCTGCCACATTTATTGCCAGGGAATTTGAGAGGGGGGATTTCATAGAAAGGTGGAAGATTAGACTCAACAACATTCTTTCTCTGAAAGTCAAGGACATGTTACTCTGCACCTGGAGAGGAGTGTCTGGAGGAAAGTCTCCAGTTGGGACGATGTTTGATTGGGTCATGTGATGGACTGGTGGGTGCAGGGGTTGGATCTTTGAATTTCTTTTGGGTGGGGAAAACCCAGAACTCTCAGATTCAGTTTTCCCAAATGTGTCAATATGGCAACTTTGATAAAATGGAACTTTGAGAAAATGCCTATCTCGGAGTTTATTTATTTGGAGTTGGTTAGTTGGAATGCTGATATCTGAGTCAATTGCAGCTTCTTAGTAGTCACCAAAAGTAGACCTACATAAAATAGTAGGCTGGGATAAGTCTGAATGTTTGTTGTCAGGGCCTCTTTCTCCAGATAGGATGGCAACTAGCACACTAACCAAAGCTGGACCACCTTTCCAATAGTGACTTCCATTTGTCCATCTTGAGCAGATGTGAGTGACCCCTAAGATATCAAATTGCTCCTTCAGAGGGGAATAGTATCCCATCTAGAGTGATAACTGTAGCCAATCAAGTATCTGATGGCTTCCTGATAAACAATATCAGAATTTAAGTTCAGCTTATTCCCCTCTCCTCAATCCCTTATTGTCTCCAGACCCTGAGTCAAGATATCAACAGCCTCCCTGGACCAGTTTCGGGTAATGACCCATACTTGGATATCAGATGTTGTCATCTCTAGTTCCCTCATATAGATATTAAACAATAGGGATGGGAATATGACTGAGAAGGGTTCTTCTCCCCCATATCACTGATTGAAACATCATGTCTATAAGAATGAAATTGCTGAAACAAGTGTCCAATTCCTGACCTAGCATATTATCCAGGAGGATACCAGAAGGATAATTAAAGTTACATTTGAAGCAGAAGTAGGCTGATTATTCATACATTGCATAGAGATGAGAATAATTTTCCATGGTTGTGTTGCATTTTCTCTTCTTGTGTTCTTTTCCCAGTCTCCACAATTCATAGGTAGACGTCAGAGTCTTATTGAAGATGCCAGAAAGGAGAGAGAAGCTGCTGCAGCTGCTGCAGCTGAAGCTGCTGAACTGACTGAGACCATTGTCTTTGATGAGAAGGATGGAATAGCCCTGTTGCATCTTCTGTTCACGCTTAAAGGAGGGAAGACTTCACTCCCATCTCGTGCACTTAAAATCTTTGAGGTGAGCCAGGAGGCACAATGGTCATATGAAACACTTTGAAGATACAGAAGTTGACAAGGATAGGGCTATTACTCAATGGACATTTCCCTCACCAAATAGTTGCAGCTAAAGCAACTATTGTTGGGGGGGGGGGGGGGGGAGAGAAAGGGAAGAGAGGAAAAGAAAAGAGAAAGAAAGGATACATTATTCCAGTTTAAGATTCTTAGAATAACTTTTAAGATAAGAATTGAAATCAGAAAAATTCATGCATTGCACATCTTATTATAAGTAGTCAGACACAGCTCTGGTGGAATTTCTCAACATTTCTTAGGTTAGATGACTGGATTCTGACTGGATGCATTCAGGGATATCAATTCCTTAGTAGGGTTTATTGGATGCATTTTTCAGTATTTGCTTGCTTTCTTGTTCAGCCAGAATTGGGTTTGCAAACAGATTCTTTCTAATATTGGGCAGATCAAAAGCCAACATAATAATAACAAATAAAAATAATGCCAGGAATCCAGAAATTACCATCATCTGTCTTTTTTTAACAGGCTACTCCAAAAGCAAAAATAATTACAAAACCCAGGATTAAATGGGAAAATGTTGAAACAAACTCAAAAGAAAATTGAAGTACTAAAATGTGAGCTCAGTATCTTTAAGGCAAACAAAGCTAATCCAGAGATGGAGAGAATTTAGTTATTGTTGCCATAATTACTATGAAAGCTCAGAAATGTTGCAGAAAGTATATATGATAAGGCCCAAAGGTAATTTGTTATGTCTCTTAGTATCCATTATTTTTATAAATTAACTATTTGTGTGTGTATATGTATACACAAATGTGCGTGAAAAGTATTTTACAGTCAGTTGAATAAGATTAATAATAACACTCCAAAAGAGTGTACAGATTTGTAAGACTAAAGGACATTTATCTGAAGAGCACTGAGACCTTCAAGAGAGATTTTCAGGACTGCAAAGCTCTTTTGGGCAATCATGAAGTGTAAGGAAAGTAAACACCAATGCACACCAGGCTTCCACAGTGAAAGATTCATTATTCCGATCCCTCCGGCACTGCAGGTAGAAGATATGAAAACAGATGGATGTAATGACATTTGCCTGTTGATGAAAAAGGCAGTGGGCAGCCTTGTTTCCCTCTGCTGTTTTACATTATATACAACTAAAGCAAGTGTAATGCAATCAGATCTGTCAAATTAATGCTGAGGTATTGATTGTTCTACATCCCACATTCAAACAATGTATCTACAAAACATGGAGCTAAATTGAATTTATTCGTGACATTGCTTTCTCTTCCCTTGGTCTATCTCTGATTAAGTAAAAATGGCAGCCTTTCCCCTATTGTATCTCTGAGAAAGAGATAATTTAACTCTTGAAGAAGTAGAAACAAAAGCCTTGTTATTAGCATTAGATATGGAAGTATGAGCAGGAATTTTGCATGGGTGAGAACATTTGGCATCAATGAAATGTAATATCTATGTCAGAAACATGCAGATCTCAGATTTTGATACACCAGTTAGAGCTGAATTCATGGTGGAGGCTCATGCAGGAAGACATATTCTAAAAATTAAGGAATGTTGTGAGACATACTCAATCCAGGAATTTGCAATCAATGAACAGAAGCAAGATCATAAATCTTTTTACATTTAGACTTCATCCTAAGTATCTGTTTTCAACAACCTGGTGGTTATTTGGGGGTTGCGGAGATTAGGTCAAAGGATGTTAGAAATCCTTGTCATTCTATACCAGATCTACCAATGCATCACACTCTGTCTGTAGGTGTTTCAGGAGTGAAAATTTGGAAAGGAGAAACCTTGCCTATTTCCTTATCCATTTCACCCAGAGATTTAGTCTTAATGAAGGTTTGTTTTTAAATGAGAAGATTCTAGAACTGGATGTGGGCCTGTTTAAGCCTTCCCCCTCCTTCCAATGTGCTTCTCCTGGGATATGACACTTACACGAGAATTGTGCCAATCAAGGGGTTCAGCCCAAAATTTCCAGAAGGAATTTGTCTTAGAAGTCAAAGCACTTCACTTGATATTTTACATTCAGCACCTTGGCCAGAGCATAGTGCTGGGGCTATTCAAAAACTATAAGGAAAATAAGACATTCAGCTTTCTTAAAAATTCCCAGGCTTCCATTTATCTTGACATACTTGTAATGATGTGATATAATTGAATTAATAGTGTATTCATAAAAATAGTGTCATTACACTATATGATGCAACACTAAGTACAGTATCATTCATCATCCTACAATAGCTTTAGGTATTAAGCTGTGTCACCAGTGTTACAAGAATCCTTTCTCTAGCAGATCTTTATTCTTATAGTGCAAGTAGGATAACGGTGGGCTAAAGCTATTGTGTTCATAATGGTGCACTTTGAATTGGACCGTTCTAGCCTATAGCTTCTAGTTCTTATGAAATAATAGCTTCCACAAATGATATATCTGTTGACTTGGAACATTCTTCAGAAGTGATCTGACTGAGTGTAAGTACAATATTTCAGACAGTTGACTGGCCAGTATTTATTTATATGTGGGTATAGGTAATCCTTGCTTACCAACTATGACTGACAATTCCATTGCCAAGTGATATAGTTGTAAAGTTAAATATGTGACTATGCTTAACATATGACAATAGTTCCAGCTATGGTTGTTAGTGAATCCATGTGAATCCATATCATCCAGTGCAATTTGTTAGTGAATCCATATCATTCAGTGCAATGATACCTGACCTCAACTTGCAACTTCTGGCTGGCTTCTCCATTGACTTTGTTTGCTGGAAGTCAGCTGTGAAGCTTGCAAATGGTGACCATATGATCTGCAATGCTGCAATTGTTGTAAATGTGTGCCGGCTGCCAAGAGCCCAAATTGTGATCATGTGACTGCAGGGAAGTTGCAGTGGCAACTTTGAGGATCAATTGTAAATCTCTTGTCAATGCTGTTGTAATTTTGAATGGTCACTGAATCATTGGTTGGTAAGCAAGGACTATCTGTAATGAAGGAACACCTTCCTACAATTGTCTATTCCACTGTACAGGAGCTTTATCATTTTGAAATTTCTCTAAATATTTAGTCAAAAAACACTTTTGTGATATTCCTACCCATTGGCTATAGCCCTGTTTTATAGATTAAGAAGTATATCCTCCTTATTTGTCCTAAATGGGACAAATTAAATAATAATATAGACTGAAGAAACAATGAACCACATAGTTAGCTATTGCAAGATCACACAGATTGGCACAAAAACAGCATGACAAACAATGGTGCATTGATATTTCTGCAAGAAATACCACTTGCTTGCAAGCAAAAATTGGGAAGACCTGAAATAAGATAAATAATAAAAAATGAAATCAAAATTCTATTACCATTTCCCCCTACATCTTTCCTTTCTTAATATTCCTTTTTTGTTTCATTTTTCTTTTATTACCCTGAAAAATTCTAATAAAAATAGTTTTAGTTTAAAAAAATAAATAGCAGTTTACTTAAAGTTTTTGTTTTGTTTTTAATGTAATGTTTATTCCTTGTTTTATCTGGATGGAACCTCCATATTTTTTCTCAGTTACTGTTTCCCTTCTCTCTGTCTCTAAAGACTTTTGAAGCCAAAATTCATCATTTGGAAACAAGGCCCTGTAAGAAAGTACGAGAAGGTTCTCCTGACCTGGAATACTTTGTGCGATGTGAACTCCATTGCTCTGCACTGAACACATTCATCAGTTCCCTTAAAAGAGTGTCAGAAGATGTAAGGAGCACAAAAGAAGACAAGTGTAAGAAGGACTTTGTGGCTTATATAATATATGAGGAGCAGGAGATATTGATGAAATGGAATCACTGATAAAGAAGAGGGGGGCCTTGGGTGTGTGTGTAAAAAGACATTCCAGGTTAGAATTGTTTCAGAGTTGTTTCAAACTTCTAGGCCTATATTTGCCATTTCCCAAGGGAAAGCAGATTGTCTGACAAGATTCCTGTAATATAGGTGATCAGCAATAAAGCTTTTACTAGGGTCTATTCATGAAGTGGTTCTGGTTTGCTTATACCTGACAATTTCATAAATCACTTTTCAGTGCCTTGCATTGCAATCTTCTGATTATTTAGCAAAACATTAAGAAATATATACATCTAGTTTCTTCTAAGGACTAACTTTCCACATATGTTTCTAGATCTGTGGATCTAATTAGTAAGTCTTGTTACTTTCACTGAGATTCAGAGGACTACATCTCTGATCTCACAGAACTTCCTGAATGAAGGCAACTTCATTAACTCCCCCCTTCCCAGGTATAAGGTTGGCCTCATCACTCTTGAGCTCCTGAAGTTCCCTCAAGACTTGTTATGCCAGCAACGGACAGATGAACCTGTGCGATAGCTACTTACTATTAATATCACTCCTTTTCTTATTTCCTTTCCCAAATTTAGCTTGTTTTTCTAATTTTTAATTCATTTTAATAATCATTATAGAAAGGTTTTAGTGAGTGATTTATTTCCTGTTTTTACTGCATTGTTGTACACCACCTAGAGTCACTTTCTGTGAAATGAGTAGCCATATAAATCTGATAAATAGCTAACCTCAAAAACTGCATGGTCACAGCTATGCTGGCTGCGATTATGAGATTTGAAGTCAAATGTATATGGATAAGACTAAGTTGAGAAAGGCTATTTTAGATCATCCAGTAGTGACCAATGTTGATGAATTGGAATGGTCAAAGCCCACCGATCCCCAGTTTGCTTTTGGTGGGGTGATACCAAAGACCTAAATCAGAGCTTCTGTATGATCAGTTTTCCCAGTGCTACTATGTCTAAGAATGCCTATGAGAATCTTAGATTCATTTTGTTGCAATTTCTCCATATTATTCAGTGATATGGATTATTTCACCTTTTACCTAGGGATTTGTCTCTTATTTATATTCAAGTAAAAGAATGGTGGCCAAAAAAAAAAAAAAAAAAGAATTACATGGTTATTATGTTATGCTAAAGGAGATGCTGCCAGGTATTGGCAGATAAATACAGTTCATGGATTACTGATATTAATAGGAGCAACTATTTTATGTTTCTGCTTTTGGTCTTCTTACATAAAACCCAACATTCCCACCATCACCAACTCCATCATATCACTTTGTGGGCTTTCACCTAACTTCCTCTTTCTTATTTTGGATTTCAGTTCATTGGTTTCCAAGGAAAATTTCGGAGTTAGATCTATGCCACCATTTAGTTACCAAATTTGACCCTGATTTGGATCTGGATCACCCAGTAAGTAAACATTTTTTTCATTATTTCTTCAGGAGGATAACCTAAAGTTTCATTTTATGAGATAAGAAATTGTCATTCTTATTGATCTGCACAGTTCACGTGTGAAGTGATTTAAATTGAGAAAAATCCCAATTTCACCTATGTACTGATGAAATCTGAACTGTTTGCCCTGAGGTCATAACATGCTTATGACAAATGTAAAAAGGCAAATTTTGTGCTAGGGAACACTAGCAAAGAGATTTAAAATAAAACTGCCAGTGTTGGAATGTCTTTAGACAAGTGACTCCTTCGTATCAGCTCTTGCTTCTTCTTGAACCTTTAATAAGAATTTGGTATCTTCTTAAATAATACTGTTGAGTTCAAATCTGAGATGGTCTTTTTTTTTTCTCTCCAAGGGATTCTCTGACCAAGTATATCGTGAGCGAAGAAAAATGATTGCAGAAATTGCTTTTCACTATAAGCAGTAAGACTTGCCACCTTGCCCACCGTTATCTATGGACATATAAACATGTTTTATTTTTCTCCCTTCTCTGCTTCATCATTCTTCTCTTTCACACTCTTCCATCTTGCTTCCAGTGTCCCATCTTTGCCAGTTGTATTGTGTGACACTATTGCCTTCAATCAATTCACACATTCAAACTTGAATCAAATTACTGCAACCTAATTCTAAATTAGAGTGTTGGTTACTCTCTTCTTAGAGCTGAAAGATATTCAGATTTGGGGACACCTTTAATTAAAATGTGCATTTTTTTGAGATAATACTTTTACCAAGAAAGCCCCCCCCCCCCAAAGGTGCAGCTTCTTTAATGAACTGTTGACAGATAAAGCAAGCACACCCATGTTGGCTCTGATGTAGCTTTTTCATTTGGATCTAAATATTGAACAACTTCACTCGGGGCCATTTTTAGAAAAAAATATAATAATCTTTACTGCATCTCAGTGTTTTCTTTTCCTTCTGGTATGTAAGTGACTTGGGTGCCATGATCTCAAACTTCCAAGTGGTCCCTTTGGCTCAAAACACTGAGGATCTTACTGATCACACTTGATCTACCCTATAAATGAGTGCTCTTACTTACAGTGACCATATTTTCTTAGAAAAAGTAAAGATAAACCTGAAAAAGGGCATATCTGAAAGGTTCATGGGCATAAAAAAATGTTTATAATTTTGCTTTACAATGGAAAATTCAATGACAAAACCATGAAAATAAATACGTAAATAAATCTAAAAGATAGTTTTCTGAAATAAAGGGCCCTCCTTTAGAATAAAATACATATGCTCATAGTACCCATATAAGAATTAAGTGTTTTTATTGATTGGTTAATTTAGTGGTTCTAACTATCATATCTCTCTTTTGTTTCAATCAATTGATGTTATTTAGTTTATGGTATTCTATAATCCAGCATATGGTACTCTATGACAGATTTCAGGCATGACTGGGTATGACTTAGTTAAATATTGCAGGGCTTGTCTATACTATTTGTTACACTATTATTTTTAAGTACCTGCTCCTTGTATTCTTCTAATAGTGGAGACCCAATTCCTCGAGTTGACTACACAGAAGAGGAGATTAACACTTGGTAAGTGTGAAGGAACCTTTTCTAGATCTTATCTTAGATCCTTTCAGAATAGTCAAATTGCGTTTTCTAGAACAATAGCTGTACCACCATTTTCATCTGAATTCTTAAGGTATCATTTGACTCAATAATTCTAGATCAGAAAAAGATTTTTACCCAGACATTTGTACTATATTTTTCATGTTTTTATATGTTTTAAACACCTCATGGTCTTCCACTCTGGTGTAGTGGTTAAGGTACCAAACTAGAAACAAGATGCCTGTGAATTCTAGTTCCAACTTAGGTACAAAGTCAGATGAGTGACCTTGGGCCAGTCACTCTCTCAGAGCCCTAGGAAGGGGAAATGGGACAACTTGCCACAGCCAACTCACTGCAGCCAACTTGCGGTGGCCCACATGCCATGGCCAATTCACTACAGCCAATTCACCATGGAAACTTGGTGCAGGAGAACTCACCATGGCCAACTCACCACAAGACAACTCATTGTGGGACAATTTAACAATTGTATTTAATTTTTTAAAATAAATAAAAAATATTTCAATTTTTGCCATTTACATTTCATTCTGTCCTTCTTTTGCATCCTTTCCTTAATGATTCTATTGCACCATTTCTTTGATATTAGTGTAATTCTTATCCCACAGTGAGTTGTCCTGTGAAGAGGTGGCAGTGGCAAGTTGTCCTGCAGTGAATTGGCCAAGGCAAGTTGGCCATGGTGAATTGTCATAGGCCCTAGGAAGGAGGCAATAGCAAACCACTTCTGAAAACCACAGGGTCATTTCCAGGCAGTCTCTAAGTGTCGAGATGGAATCAAAGACAAAATGATAGCAATAGCACTTAGACTTATATACCACTTCACAATGCTTTACAGCCCACTCTAAGTGGTTTACAGAGTCAGCATATGGCCCCCAGCAATCTGGGTCCTCATTTTACCAACCTCAGAAGGATGGAAGGCTGAGTCAATTTTGAGCCTGGTGAGAGTCAAACTTTCAAACTGCTGGCAGTCAGAAGTAGCCTGCAGTACTGCATTCTAACCACTGTGCCACCGTGGTTCTTAAAATAATAAAATAAAATAAAACTATAAAATAAAATAATGTTTCAATCAACAATCCTAAACAGATTGCCAGAATTCTAAGGTAATTATCTTTTCTATGCAAATACTCTGGAAAGATATAAATGTTACCTTTTTTTTTTAAAGGAGGGAAGTCTACAGTACTTTGAAGAGTCTTTATCCCACTCATGCCTGCAAAGAACACCTGGATGCCTTTCATTTACTGGAAAGGTACAGTGGCTATAGTGAAAACAACATTCCTCAGCTGGAGGATGTCTCTTGTTTCCTGAAAGGTAAGTATGTGGCCATGTTTAGAGAACTGTACATTTTTATGGTGTTAACCCTGCTTGAAGCTTTTCACCTCTGTGGTTTAATAGATTTGCTGCCCAATTTCAACAATACTTCTGGAACCTCTAGACGGGACCTAACTGAAGAGACCTTGTGGGCAACAAAACAGAGTGACCAGCCCTGGTCTAGATAATAAATAGCAAATAAAAATACCTATATAAAGTATATATATATAGGTCAAGGTTCCATTCGCACATATGTGCTAGTTGTTTCTGACTCTAGGGGGTGGTGGTCATCTCTATTACAAAGCCAAAGAGCCAGTGCTATCTGAAGATGTCTCCGTGGTCATGTGGCCAGCATGACTAAATACTGAAAGCACATGGAACGCTATTACCTTCCCACCAAAGGTGGTCCCTATTTTTCTACTTGCATTTTTACATGCTTTTGAACTGCTAAGTTGGCAGAAGCTGGGACAAGGAACAGGAGCTCATTCTGTTATGCGGTGCTAGGGATTTGAACTGCCAAATTGCTGACCACACACATATATGTGTGTGTGTGTGTTTATATATATGCATATAAAATACTACTCTTTATCCAGGACAAAATCTATGAAACAATATAAAACATTGTTCTCCAATCTCCAATTCTGTATATTCATTTATTACGAAAAATAAGCATTCAATTCAGTTTTGCTCTCAGAAGAAAATGCTCTATAATATTTAGGTCACATCTCCTTGGCCAGGTAAAGAAAATAATCTGCCAAAGTAAGGGAAAAAAGTCACTGTTCATAAAACATCAAAAGATAATTATGGTTTCTGCAAGAGGGAGTTCAAGAAGAAATCTCCAAAATGCTCTGTAAAGATGCTCAGTAGAAGGGAACATCCATAAGGCTATTGTTCTTCCAAAGAAAAAGGATGCTTCAGGAATCAAATCTGCTCTGCCTTTTCTGGACTAATGTGTAGATCCAAAGAATTATCCATTGGGATATTGCATTTGTGAAGATTTTTGAAGTTTTTTCTCAAGAAATCCTACCAAAATATGTAATAAAACTGCATTTTAGGAGGAAATATAGAAATCTTTTATTTAAAAGTAAACATTAAGATTTTTTTTTAAGATAAACATTAAGACTATATTTTTAATATATTTGCAGTAACCCAAATCACATTTGTCAATGCAATTGGTTTTCAAACAGACATTATGGGATTCCATCAATATAAATGTATTTTCCAATAATAATGTAGATCTGGAATGAATAGACTTCCAATGTACAAAATTGAAAAAGATGCTAGAAAGAGACCAGTTGTATCCCTCCATAAAATTCAGCTGTACCTGAACAGCTACAGTATAACACAAAATTCAGTTCTAAACAGTAAGGTGTTCATGCTTTGAAAATGATTAAGGAAAAAAAAATGTTTCCATTACCATTGGCCTGATTATTTTCAGGCTTCCTGGAAAGCCTGCATGTCCCTCCTCCCCAAAAAAGTTGTGGCTGCTTTAAAGAATCAAATCATTAAAGTTAATGGGACCTTTAAAACAGCTACAATTTTCTTTTGTGCAAGATCCAGAGCACTTCTCCCAAATCATGTTTGAAACAAATACAACTTTACTTTGAAAAGACCCAGGTAAGCTCTTAAAGTTCATCTTTTCTTAAATGATACAAGCAAACATAAGAGATGGTTTGGATTGTTTCAGAGAGAACTGGGTTCCAACTCCGACCAGTAGCTGGCCTTCTCTCAGCTCGGGATTTCTTAGCCAGTTTAGCCTTCAGAGTGTTTCAGTGTACACAGTACATCCGCCATGCTTCTTCTCCCATGCACTCTCCAGAGCCGTGAGTATTGGCCTCATAGAATTGGCTTCTTTAGCGCTTGGCTTGCTGTTTCAGAATCAGAGAAGACTGAAAAACAGTAGCTGTTTTTCTTTCTAAAGGGACTGCTGTCATGAACTTCTGGGACACGTACCAATGTTGGCTGATAAGACATTTGCACAGTTCTCTCAGGTGAGCCACCTTGTGATGAAGGTACAATCTCTATTTTGCCATTAGAGCAATCATTGGCCATGCTGACTGGGATGGTGGCAGTTGAAAAATAACCCAACTAGAAGGTGCTCCCAGATCAAAGAAGCACTCTTTTATAAAATGACATTTTATAAAATTGCCAAAATGCATAAAGAACATGATGACGTTATCCATTCAGTCTAAGGATGGGCTGTTATGGGTTTGCCCAGATTTGGGTGGACTCGTAGCTAATGTTATGGCTGGTTTGGTGAACCACCAAATCCCACCCCTGGCTGAAAGTGGAGATGGGTGTAGTTTCTATTTCCATTTCTACTAAATTCCTCCCTGCCTTCCTCCCTAAGAATGTTAATAGTCACTATTATTGTAGGCAATATCACTATAGCACCTAATGGACTCATAGAATTTCTGGAAACTCAAAAAGCAGAATTGTGGCCCAACCCTTCAAATGTTGCCTAGATATCTTAACTAGGATGTCCTTCCCCTTCGTGTTTAATCACAATCTCATTTCTTATCATCTCTCCCCATTTGTTCTTTTTTTAGCAATTAAAATGAACCTCTTGTATCTTCTGCAAAGTGTCCCTATCATTGGGTGTGCTCCAATTGGTTTTTGTTAAAGGATTAAAGCCATATGTATGCATCAGAGCACCCCAAACAGAATCATAGTACTCCAAAGAGATTATTAAATGTCAAAATAGAGATAACAATTACAAGAATTGTAAAAAAATACAGTTTGGTGTATACTGGAGTCTCTCCTTGAGGGAGATGGGTGGTCTAGAAATATGAAATATAAATAAGTAAATAAATATGCAATAGAATATATTGAAGTAATTATAAAAATAATTTCAAGATTGCAAGCAGGCCATAAACAATGCAATTCTATCTGCATTCAGTATACATTGATTTATAGACTTCCCATAATAATATCAATATTATATCAATTGATATTGATTATATTACCATTATCTATTAATATCAATAGGTAATGGGCTTTTACAAATATGGTTGAAATAAAAACTCATCAGTTAGGTTGTAGCCAGGATCATAATATCCTAGCCAGGAAGATTGCCACTTTATAATTAGAAGCATTTACCAATCTGGCTATGAATTATGGAACTTCTGCTAATTTTTGTAGGGGATGAAGTTGGAAAGTCATAATATTTTGAATTTTGACCCAATCTGCCGAATCCTATTGTATGAGCCATAAAAATCGAGCTGTGCCCACAAAACATATAATGGTCATGGGAAAAAACACATAATAATTACATGATGGTTTTCCTTTTGCTCCTAGGACATTGGTCTTGCATCTTTGGGTGCAACTGATGAGGAGATCGAAAAACTTTCAACAGTAAGTCCTTAATTCTAGGATATACAGGTAGAGCTGTAATTGCTTCTGTGAAATTCTGCTCTGCATATATATTTTGATTGTAAATGTTGATACGAAATGCCAATTTTGGCTAGGCTAATCATAATTTCTAGGAATTGTAGCCAATGTAGCTGGCCGGGCCCAAACTGGGATAGAATAATCAGGTATAGGTTTTCAATATAAGGAGTAACAGGCACCAAGAAATAATATTATTAGTAGACACTCCAGCATAACCAAACAAAGAGAAAACAAACACTGATTTCTAAGAACCAAAAATAATAATAATGCATTTTTTTCCTCAGAAGAGCTTTTAATTGTCTTCTCAAATGCAATGCAAAAAAGGAACAGATGCAATAAAAAACCCAAATTTATCTCTTTAATATGGAAAAGAAAAAGCTAACCATTGCTGCTTTTTTTTTTCCATCTCACTTTTCTCTGCAGCTTTATTGGTTCACAGTGGAATTTGGGCTCTGCAAGCAAAATGGAATCATTAAAGCCTATGGAGCTGGCCTCCTCTCTTCCTATGGAGAGCTCATAGTAAGTGCTGCCCCCATCTACCTCCATCCAGCTACTGGTAAACTAGAGGTGGTATTCAACAGGTTCTGACCAGTTCTGGAGAACCGGTAGCGGAAATTTTGAGGAGTTTGGAGAACTGGCAAACACCACCTCTGACTGGAGATTTCACATTATGCTTCCCCTGCCACGCCCACCAAGCCACACCCACAGAACTGATAGTAAAAAATTTTGAAGCCCCCCCAATGTGGTAAACTGAAGAGTGCAGCAGCTGCTTCTGAGCTTGGTTGATCCTATTTGGTCGATTGCTGCAGTAGTTGACTTATGGGGTTCTCCTGCTTTCTTCTCCCTCCTTTCCTTCATTTAGCACTCTTTGTCTGATGAACCGGAACTAAGGGACTTTGACCCGGACATGACAGCCATGCAACCCTATCAAGATCAGACTTATCAGCCTGTTTATTTTGTATCAGAGAGTTTTAATGATGCCAAAGCTAAACTCAGGTAAGAATCATAATTGGTTGTATTATTGGAGAATGGGGATCTATATGTCTAGTAGTTACAGCAATATAGAGTTTCGATTGCTGCAGATTATGAATGGTTTCTCTCTTAACCAAATAATCAGAAGAAAGGTTTTCCTCCAAACAAAAATTAAAAAAATTTTTTTTTCTTGCTGTTGCTTTTTAAATGAAATCTAAATTACAGCATTGGTAAATGTGGAATAAATTAAATTTATTCTGGTTGTATATGTATGTGCATTTACAACTGGTTTCTTGATTTTTTCTTTGTGAATTTATTTTTAGTATTGCTTACTTTTCTTCAACAGGATAATAAGGATAGCAAACATAATTGAATGAGAATATTAAAACATTAAAATATATACAAAAGTTAAAAAATATTTTAAATAATACATTACATGACTATTCCATTCAGTAGCACTTACAGATATTTGTGCATAAGACTGTAACTGATTGCTTCCAAAGAGAAATGCTCTTTCCAGAATAACTCCTGGGTCCACTTCGAGACATCTGATGAGAGTTGATAGTGAAATAGATACTTAAGAAATTATGAAAATCAGGTAACTGTATTATAAACCACTATAACGATATGATCTTTTAGATCAGAGGATCCCCAAACTTGGCAACTTTAAGACTTGTGGACTTCAATTCCCAGAATTATCCAGCCAGGTATACTGGCTGAAGAATTCTGGGAGTTGAAGTCCACAAGTCTTAAAGTTGCCAAGTTTGGAGACTTCTGTTCCAGATATTCAAATTTTGCAACATGGGTATCACATTTCATCAGGAATGATTGCTGGTTAAATTATAATAGAATTATATGGAATAATGGGAATGACCACTGGATTAGAGCAAATCCTTGGTTGTCATCTAGTTCAGGGATCCCCAACCCCCCACTCATTACTGGGCCATGACCTGTTCAAAACCGGGCCACAGAAGAGATGGGTATGCGTGTATGTGCAAAGCTTCACTCATGCAAGTGGCGGGCAAGCACGCGTGTGTGAAGCTCCATTTGCACGAATAGAGCTTTGTGTGCTTATGCCCTCTGCTTGTGTGAGTGCAGCTTCATGCCCATGGGTGCGCGGTGACCCCGCTTAAGCACAAGGGCCTGCCGCTCACATGAGTGAAACTTCACGCACAAGTGCAAGCACCCTCCATTCCCACGAGTAAAGGGCATTAGCGCATAAAGCTCCCACAAATGGAGCTGTGCACACAGGTGTACGTCTGCCACTCACATGTCCCCACCAAGCTAGAATGGTTGTGGAACACTGATCTAGTTAGCAACTCCTTTTTTTCTCCAAGCCCCATTCTGATACCTCCATTAACCAAGGTTAGTAAAGGTAAAGGTTCCCTTCGCACATACGTGCTAGTCGTTTCCATCTCTAGGGGGTGGTGCTCATCTCCGTAACAAAGCCAAAGGGCCAGTGCTGTCTGAAGACATCTCTGTGGTCATGTAGCTGGCATGACTAAATGCTAAAGGAGCACAGAATGTTGTTATCTTCCCACCAAAGTGGTCCCTATTTTTCTACTTGCATTTTTACATGCTTTCGAACTGCTAGGTTGGCAGAATCTGGGACAAATAACAGGAATTCACTCCGTTACATGACGCTAGGGATTCAAACTGCTGAACTGCTGACCTTTCTGATCAACAAGTTCAGTGTCTTAGGCACTGAGCCACCATGTCCCTCGATTAACCAAGATTGCATCTCTCCAAATACTGCACTGATCTCAAAAGATTCAGTGAAAATTGCTGTTCAGTAAGTTGTTGTTACAGATTGGTTTTCATTAAAGATTCAAGGAAGTTTACGTTAGGAAAGAAAGTAATATTCCATATGTTTTCATTTCCACCAATATTATTAAAGAGGAGGATAAGAAGTGTACATGAGTGAAATATACTGTATGTACAGGAAAGAACTCCAATGGGCTGTAGTACCATAGCACATGCTGCCACATAAAAAGTTGTATGGTTCTTCTAGCTTCTTTTTTAATTTTAAGTTGGGAAGCGACACTAACTGGAGCCAGATTTTTCAAAGACCATTCTCATAATTTATTCTGAAGAGAATATTGGCACACAGCATCCCCAAATAAATCTAAATATCAGTACGAACAAGTGATCAAAGGCAGTCACCCAGTAAAACAAGAGAAAAGGTTAATATTTGCCCTACTGTTTTGGAGGGGGGGCAGAGTTAATATTATTTTCCAAAGCCACTAGATGGTGCCATAACATAAATAATCTGAAATTATTGTGTCCTATAGAGATTCATTCCATACTACGCTAGGTTATGTGGGCTACATCTCCAACAGTTATAGATGAAGCTTCATCAGATGAAGAGGGAAAAGGGCATACATACAGGGGTGTCAAACTGGTGGCCTGTGAGTTGGATGTGTCACGCGCAGGTCATGCCACCCCAACTCAAATGCCATGAAACGTCATGTGATGGCAACGTGATGACGCAAGTTTGTGACACCTTTGGCCTACAATATCATCTCAACTAAAAAAAATTTCTTTTTTTTTTACAATAAGAATGATTCTAACTATATGTATGTGTGCAATTGAGCAGATAAATTTTCCAGTTCAGTCTGGTGACTTAATTTTTTACCTTGTGTTGTGACATAAAACTCTCTACCTGCTGAGCCTCTAGTTTGCAGCCTTTTTGCTATTACAATTTGTTTCATATCCTTCATCAGTTCAATGGCTTCCATCCTTGGTCACAAAGTGGCCAGCTATTTTCAATTGTAGCTTTTGGCTCCACTGAAATGCATTGCCAATATATCATTTATGAAATTGGCTGTCCTTCAGCGAGCAAAGAACCTGTTGCATGTTTAATTTACCTAAGCACAATATGGATTTTTGTTTTTGTTTTTGTTTTAAAAAACTCCTGTGATGTAATTAAAAGAGGTAGAAAGAAATAAAATCTTAGTGAAATTTATTGAACAAAAAGTAGAAAATGCATTTCTATTTTATATACAGCATGGCAGAGATACCAGCTTGCTTAGAATGAATTTATATTTAGGCAAAGGATAGGGATGAGTTTAGATAATCTTGCATATTTTTAGACTAAAAATATGTAAGATTCAACTAAATTTAATGTAGTTGAACCTTACAATGTGTATTTAATGATTCATAACAATATTAATCCTTTGTTCCCAGATTAATTCCCATAATCCCAGAGAACATCAAACAGAGCTGCCATAGTCCTAGACCATGAGTGTCAAACTCGATCACAATGATGTCATGTGACGTATCGGGACTTCCCCCCCTTCGCTAAACTGGGCGTGGGTGTGGCCAGCATGTGACGCATCCAGCTCGCTGGCTGGGAGTTTTACAGCCCTGTCCTAGACAATCAATGGCCATGTTGTTCTCCGAGGTCCAGGCTAGGAAAGCTGGTTTATACACAATGTGCTTCTTTATCTCTTAACATTTTAGGTAGCCCGCCTACATTACCATCTTTGATGTCTGTCCTCTTCTTTTCAGGGTCTATGCAGCACATATCAAGCGACCTTTTTCTGTGAAATATGATCCTTACACCTACAGTATTGAGCTTTTGGACCACCCACAGAAGATCTGCCACTCCCTGACAAATGTGCGCGATGAGCTCCACTCATTAATTGATGCGCTCAATATTATCAGCTAACACAAGATTTGGACAAACCTTTCCCCCCCTCCAAGCCAATGTCTTTTTCTGTACCTGCAAACTTGGTTTTCTGCCATGGCTACTAATTCACTGCACTGTTTGGGCCAACAACATCACTATGATTTCTTTTAGGGTTTTGTGTTACTGTCTCTTGCCATAATAGTACCTATGGTGTGAATTGTGCCCCACATGCCGTGGTATGCAGGCATTTTAGTGACAAGCTTGGTTGAAGAAAGTAAAGTAAATGAAGTTTAGGAGCTTAATCCTGAATCCCTTGGGTATTTTTTAATTTATTAATAGCAAGGGATCTGGATTGGACAGATGCTATAAAAAATAATTGCACAGCACACTAGAAATTCCTCTTTAAAGAAAAAGAAAAGCAATGCATTCCCAAAACATTAATTGTTCCTCCAAATTATATTTTTAAAATTATTTAAAATATGAGAGATAAGCACAGAAGAGACTAAGTAGTTTCTTACACTACCAGGTTCACTCCACTTTCTGAAACTCATTTCTGCTCAATTCTGCCCCCTTGGAAATGAGAAGAACAAAACATCCAAATCAAACAAGACAGAGAAGTTTTAATTTATGCATCTCTGGGGAAGGCTTCCATTAAAAAACTTGGACTAGTTTACTAGTTTATTATATTCTTCATGTTCTCCCCCTTTTTAATTTTGCAACATCTTCTATGACTTTGTTTTTCCCAGAAAGACCAAACATTCCATTAATAATTCTCTGTTATGACCAGAATTCTCTCAGCCCTTTTGCATAAATGGTTTCAGACAGGTACAAGCCTCAGAGGGCTGCCCCACACTAAGATTGTACTGGTAACAGGAGCTCTGAAGAATTCCAAGGGATGACTCAGAACAAAGCCCAGTAAACTTTTCTCATCTGACTGGAACATCTTTCTCATCATCTCTAATCTTTCCATCTGGGAAAAATTCTTCCAGGATTAGCAAAGTTTTGACTAATGCACATTGGCTACAGTTGTCAGTAGGCTTGTTTCATGGCCCTATGAAACTTAGTGGAATCTCTTGCCAAGCATGTGATAAAGAGAAGCCCCGGCTTCTCAAATCAAAATGAGGTCCAACACCTACCAACAAACTGAGCTGACCCAGTTCAGAATCACATCTGCAATGCGGCTAATGCTACCATGTCACAGCAGCACTTTTAACTCTGTAGCCCATCATACTGTGTTACCAGATTGGTACTACTTGGCAAATAGGGAGCGTGGATTAGAATCAAGTCCAGGTTCAAGTCTGTTCCCATTAGTGCCACTTACAGTAAGAAGGAGGCCCCCTGGGAAGCCTATATGAAATAAGTGATTTCTGCTAAAGGCAGAAGAATCCACAGAATTGAGAATGAAGTCTTCTGAACTCTTAGACCCTTGGCAGCAACCGTCTGTCCACAAACCTAGAGTGCTGTGTTGGGTAGAATGAATAGCAGGAAATAGCTAATGGATAATAATTCTCCATATTAAAAGTGCTGATCTTGCTCTTTTGATTTCTTTTCCTCCTCTGAGGATGAAGATAAGTGATGAAATGTGTGGCATGATATCTTGGCACAAGGTCTTTGACTTATGTACTTGCATCAGGGCTATGGATTGAGATGTCACGTTGCACGTTTTGTCATTGTGTGTGTGTGTGTGTGTGTGTGTGTGTGTGAATATGGCTTGCATTAGACACTTCAGTCTAAAAACCAGAAGTTGATTGCTTGAATGGTTTAAAAAGTCCCAAATGGCTTCTGGTTCTGACCTCAGCAGGCCTACCTGAAGTGAGAAAAGAACCAAAGAGCACCACAGTGGTGTGATGACCAACATATTCAGTCTGTACTTTCCCTGTTCTATTGTTGACTTCAGGGCCACAATGCCTAGACTAATTTTAGGACATTTCTGCTTCTTTCCCTTGCTCCTTGTGCCCTTCACCTGAACACCAACATAACAAAAAGAATCTGAACAATTCAAAAACTTGACCACACTTTATTGAAACTATAACTTGATTGCGAATACTGCACTTACTATACACATAGCTTAAAGAAATTCTCAGTGGCTAACTATTCAGGTCAGTTGAAACCTTCATTAACTGCAATGGACTTGGGTGTATTGTGGTATTTGCAAGATAGATCAGGTCTCATAAACACTCTATGGCATTTACAGCACCATATTGGTTGAATGCATGCTAGGATTTCACAAAATCTCAGAATGTTTTTCTTTTTTTTTGCTTATGATAATAGATAGCTACATGAATGTGACAAAAGTCTTGCTACCTATTCTAGTTTCCCCCCAACTTATTCAATCCAGATTTCTTGGATAATTCACAAAACCCTAAGCTAACAATTGCAATAGTTGCTGATGATGATAGCTGATGCAATCCACAAATCTGAAAACGAATATGTCTGAATGTGGTCCCTATATTCTATGAAACTATGTGGAACAAGGATGCTTTGAAATGTCCTGAAGAGATGGCAAAAGTAGTTAACATTCTTCCTGGTGAGGAAAGTCACTGGTTGATTTTTTTCCTGTTGAGAGGGAGACTCAAAAGGACAATGAAGAGATGCTTCCTTTTTTGTCATGGTTGGGAACATTACATGGTACTTTTGTACGTGTTCACCATACAGCTTGAAAGAACAGGTGCCAATATTATTGCTGCTATTGCTGCTGCTAAGTGAAGTCGATCTGTTTCTCTTGTTCCATAAAGAATATATTTGTTTCTCATGCAGCTGCTGCTGAATAAAATCATATTTCTGGCCTTGCAGTTTTTATTTGTTTTTATTTGTCTTCCTGAACTCACCTGCCATGACTGACTTATTTTGAATGTGTTGATTTCAGAATGGCTGTTTCTGTCACAGTTTTATTCATAGAGAAGCACCAAACTAACAAAATATCTCATGAAACTAAATGGTTTATTATTGCATACAGTTTCATAAATCCCAGTAGCTTTAATTCAATTTTTCTTGAACAGTAGCCATTCATTAATTACTTCTTTCAACCATCCAGTGTTGGAAGGGGACTTCAGACATTAAGATGGACTGTGTAGATTGCAGTAGACTGCATTCATCATAAAGGTCACTAAACTCTATATCCAATATGATCCATAAAAAATTATTTGCTGTGCAAACTTTCAGAGAACTTAAATTCCATTCCATTCAAAGATGAAGCCTCTCTGGTTCCGCTAGACTTTAGTTTCAGTATGTCCAAAATTGACTTCTGATAGTCCAGCCAACATTTCCATTCTGAATACTCAAGTTTCAAACACAACTGTGATAATGCACATTTATCTTCCAATGAAACATATGTTGATCAATGACCTATACACTTTACATGTTGCATAGAATAGTCTATGATAGTCACAAACATTCCCCACATCACTATTATGAGACCAACAATTTTCTGTTTTCTGCATATTCATAACAGCAACAACAGTAATTTTGGGGGGGATTGTTTTATTGGCCAGAGTCCATTTCCCCAATACACTCCTACAGTAACTCTTATTGGAACTACTTGTATCCCCACTATTATCACAATTGGATGAATCATCAGTTGTATTACTTCCTCAGCAGTAGGGTTAAACTGTAAAAAAGAATTCTACAAATGGTATTAATCTGTTGCTGCTGTTTCATGGGAAAGAGCCAAAAGTTCTGAATGGTCTTGTTGCACTTTGATTCATGCTTCATTTTCCTGTTCTACAAGAGGTTCCAGTGCTTGTGGATTCAGAGAGAAGCAGAAGCTTGTTCTGCAAGCAAGGTCAAATTCATTCCCAGTGGTGGGTGGGGGAAAAAAAGCTGGTATAACCTGGGGAACTTCAAAACTGAACAACTAACCACACAACCCAAATTCCATCCATTAATATTAGTAGTGGTACGAGAGAGAGAGAGAGAGAGAGAGAGAGAGATGTGCTGCAGCTGATTACTATTTATCCATATCAACCTGTAACAAGAAAATACCATAAAGTAGATAAGACAAGAAGTGAGGTGAGAAAAAGTGGGGGAAAAAAGATTAATATCTTTGTTTTGCTCTCTGCAAATTCCTATGGACGTTTCCATTTCCTTTGGCCTGTAAATAACCTCATCCTTCAGCAGTTGAAGGTCTTTCCTGACTCTTCCTCCAAATGGTCATCTGTGAAGCTGCCGAGGTTGTTTTTCCCAGATCTATTATGAAAAATAAAATCTGCTTCAGTTGCCCCACCAAGTGGAGGTTACATGATAGGCCTTGCTGCAAGTCACAGTCCAATCTTGCAAGTGCCCTCCTATTCTTCAATTTCTGTTTCTTCTCAACAGTGGCTTTCTTAATTATGTGAGGCTCCTTAATACAGCCCAAAGCTTATGCCACCAATCAAATTGTTCCACCTTGGAATTGAAGTGGTTTTGGGAGATGTGAGGTTTTTTTTACTTCTCAAGCATATCATTCGTGGATCCAACCTGACCAGAAGATTCAAACAACTTATCTTGTCTAAGGATGGGTTCCCACAGTTTCATGAATCACTAAGAAAAATTTAGAAACTGACTGATGAGATGTTCTCCTCCTGAACCACTGTCATCATCACCCTGTTTACAGCACCATAACTTTCTTGAAATGTGTGCATTTTCCCCCACACTGAAATCTAATACACATACTCCGAATCATGCTGTCAACACAACTCAAATGTTCTTTAAAACTCTAAAAATTTCCTCAAAATTTAAAACCTCCAATATCTCTGAGTCCTAAAATTAATCTTAATTTCAAAAGAAAAAATTCCCAAAGTATAATCTTTACTGTGTTCCTTGCTGGATTTTCCACTGTTCTTGGGAAAGAGAAAATATAAATATTCCCTCCCTCTCAGGATTGTGTTCAAGTGGGTACAATCTCTATAGGAGACAACAGTATACAGTACTATACAAAAATTGCACAGGGTAGTTTAACCAAATATTGGGCACAATTGTTGCTTCAATATATTTTCTAATGCTAGTGTGACTAATTAGAGATTCACAGTGCTGATCAATATAATTTTCTCAGCCAATGTAAATAGAAAGGTTATTTAAATTACTAAACAGTTACTGAAATTATATTGTACCACCCTGATTCTCTAACTCCATGAAGATTTTCTGGTATGAAAAAAATAGCAGAAAAAATAGTAGGTGAAAAGAAGAAAATAAAATGGCAACTATGGAATGGAGAAACTTTTATACAGTACAAAAAGCCTTCAGAAATTCTTCAGAGATTCTTTTTGTCTCCTATGAAAATCTGACCAACTTGTTTTCTTTAGTTTTGCCATGTAATATTTTTACAATGGAGAAGACAGGTCTAGTTCTTCTTCAGCAGTTCTAAATCTTAGAAGTGCACTTCCTGACCCTTGATAAGTCACATTGTTTATATTTTGATTTGCTCCTAATCTTTGTCACATTTTACATGCTGTAGCATGGAACTTCCATG